TTTAAGATGTATAAGCATTCAGGTACACTCCAAGGAGAAAATCTGAGGAAAAGACAACAAGCTTCAGGTAAAAAAGACATTTACTAACAGCCATCTCATTCTCCCATAGTTTTCCTTTCCACTATTCCATCCTCATCACTGATTTTAACTAGTTTACTTTCCAGAAAACTTGTTAGGCTTCTTTCTCCTTAACACCATCTTACTCTTTCAAGGTGTTCCTTATAATATCATCAGCTGGACTTTTCAAATCGTAAGGCAAAATCTTGTCACGCACAATACAGAGTCGTTAGCTAAGATGCTATGTGCTCTGTTTGTCACACACATCGTAACACCCACACACACCCGCTGGTCTACAGCTGACATCACTAACATAGCTGTAAGCTAACGCGCAACACAGAGGTGTCTCCACCTCCTCCCCCCACCCCGACACAAAACCCCCGAAGAGATGAGCACCTGCTACGCTAAGTGACCGAGCAGGAACGCTCTTTCTTTAAGAGAAACTATGACAACCCCCACTCCCCAACAAAAACTCTTCGGATCTGGACGGTTCACGTAAATGAAATATTTTTGTTTGAAATTGGTGAATTTCACCGAAAAACGACTTTTGCTACCCCATGGTAAAAGTAAAAAAATTGTATTAACACTATTAAAGAATAGGTCGCAAAGTATTTCTGTTACACAAATATTTCCACTGCATTAAAGAGACAAATTGAAGAAAATTATTTAATAAACATGAGGGTTATGAGAGGGTCCCTGAACTTAAAACGTTTGAGAACCTCTGATTTAAGAGATGTCTCAGCTTGAAATCAATATTTGAAAGGAAATATTTTTACTTGCCTTTTGTTTAAAAAAATCCACATTTCAGTATTTTTAAAAACCAACAAAATGTTTATTTTATGGTAATGTTTTGGAGAAAAAAAAGTATGTGCCCCACCAATTACAAGAGCCAAACTGTTTTTTTGTTTTGTTTTTAATTCCAGACCAGAGTTTTGAGAAGTCCATCCAGCCTACCAGACCATTTATAACCAGTGGTTGACAATGAGGCCTTGTTTTTCACTCAAAAGTTTTTAAAACCATATTCTCTTTTTTTAATATTTTTTCTTTCTAAAACTCTACTTTTGCACAATGCCAGTTTCTGTTTTGCTTTTTGCTTTTACTAAACCTATCGAGCTGCTGCCCAGTGCGAATTTTA